GGTATATGTCTGTCGAGGTGCCTTGTCTGATCTTGTACTGACAATTTTAAAAAGGCACTGTCAAAGAAATATTACGTATTGTAACGACTATTTGTAACGACATTTCCTTTGATGTGGTGAAAGTCTGTCAGACAAAAATTCTAGTTTTAGTACCCAATTGTCTCACAGACGATTCCAATGTCTCGCACATTAATGAGTGAATATATGTGAGTAACAAGTCGTCAGATATGTGAACTGGCGGTATCTTTGTCGACAAAAGTACGACATTCGTAGTCTTGCACTATGGACAGCAGTTTACAACATGTCAGTCTAAACACTTCTGCGCTAACAATAACACTTCAGTCTATCTACCATGTGGTGTCCAATCAAAGATATATCGTTGCTATGCTAATATTTTGTATGTTACAAGAACCGTGTATTTCTAATTATCTAGGTGTAAATCGTACGTTGCATGGACGAATTAATTATATTTTCGAGATCGGTGTAAATCTGTTATTAGTAAATAAATATAAATACGTGTTAGAAATAAATAAATACATATAACGGTGAGAACTCAGTCGATAATATGTAATACATTTGTGTGACCGCTCACACACGTGTTATTTATTTTCGATTGTGTTCTTGTCGTAATAAGGTTGGGTATTTTCACATCGATTATCCGATATTAATGGCATTTGTTCGTCAACAGTTTGAACGATCTCCAACTAGCTGGTCTCTGGTTTGATCTAAAAATGTAGTCTTTGTTTTTGAAACGGCCTTTGTTCCAAAAGAAACTACACAACGAACCACATTATATGGTATTTGGATAGTTAAATAAAGATATTTTACTTTCGAGGAAATAGGTTTCAGTGAAATGTCGACTTTAATAACTGGAGTATTTCTATAAAAAGGTCAATCACGTATTCTGTGAACCACACAACAACGTTGAACATGAAGATTTTCCGATATCCGCCATGTTTAAAGTCAAATTGACTATGAGCGGCGTATTTTGCCAAAGGTGTGGATCAGACAATAGATGTGGGAAAACAAATTGTCTATAAGTGCCTCCCACAATTATACATGCTTGTTAAATGCTGGTCAGCGTCCATTGTCTAGTCGTACGTCTCGCGATTTGATAAAAACGAGACGGCGTATTGAGATGCAAATATGTGAGAATCTAATTGTATATAAGGTGATACGTTTAGCAAATACCACATCAGTCTGCGCCATACCAGCAATGACCATGTATTCCAACTCTCTATTTCCCAACGATATCTACTCAAACACACGGCGTACATATGCTTTCCATCCATACCATAACAACAACCACATCGCCACCGATAATATCAACAACCATCCATACGTCGCTGACCGTCCACCGTACAGCTTTGTAGCTCTTATCACCATGGCTATCCGGTCACATCACAATCAGAAAGCGACACTGAAAGATATATATGGGTGCATTAAGTCAACTTTCCCGTATTATCGAGACAAAAACCCGAGTTGGGAGAACTCAATTCGTCACAACATATCGATGAACAGCTGTTTCGTAAAGATTGCCCGTAGTATCCATGATCAGACCCACGGACATTTCTAGGGACTCAGCGCCGGGTGGGAAGAAATGTTTACTGAGGGAAACTATCGCCGCCATGTTCGAGGCTAAAGGAGATCAGACAGTCGCTCTTTAAGTTCATCTTCATCAAACTTCGCGGACGCCAGCGAGCAGAAATACGATGAGCATGGATTTCACCAAACCTCCCAAAATGCGGTTTCAACTGTAAAATGCAATCGAAGTTGTCCCGAGCTGTCCTTCGCAAGATTTGATACACCTTCATCGCCTGAGAAAACGAGAAAGTTCTGGAAGGACTTTAGTATATCAAGTATATTAGGCTCCTCACCGAAGAAATCAGACCACAGCGAAG